TTTGGATTGAAGTTCTAAAGCCCCAGAGTGCGAATGGCAATTTATCTGGCCAGTCCCTATAGGTTTCTACCATCTTCTGTAAAATTTTCTTCATGTTCTTGTTCGCAGCCTCAACTGTGTGGTCTCTTTTTAGCTCGACCTATCTCATAGTGCACGTGTATTTTGTGACCATCTTGCTCTATGAACTAGCAATTAATATATGAATCCATTAAAACAACACGGGCTTTTTGTTTACCAATGACTTGGTTTTTGGGAAAATTTTTGAAACCTACATGGCTGGCAGTATTGTCATATTCTACATGCACTTTCAGTCTCCTTAACTAGCGACCGTGGTCAACAAGACCGTATAACATCACTGAGAAAATATGAGAAAATGTGTGTTTGTGTTTATTTATGAAGTCGTGCAAACTGTTAACTTCATGTTGAAGATAACAATAACTAAACCTTCACATCTTAAAATGTAGAGCTTCTAGCAAATTAAAATTACAATTTTTTTGTTTGATAATAAAGTATTTTAAATATATAAAAAATAGGAAAATGGTTGAGAAATTTATTTTTAGAGGTGCATGAGATTAAGGTAAAGGATTGTTTTTCTTTGATTGGAAATATATATTTAATAAAATTATTTGGTGATAAATAATAAATTATTATTTTGAAAGGTAATATTTTAATTTGTATTTATCATCCATTGAATTGCTCGTTTGATGATTATCTCAAAATTGTTATTACTAAAAACTTCAATTAGATGTGACTGGCGGTAACTAGTGACGGTAATAATAATATCTTAATTAAATAAACAAATCAAAAACATGTGAATAAATATTTAAAAATAATATGATATTTTAAATTGTTATTATTTTTGTGGTCTCAAAATATTTTAATTTGCTTGCTTTTACAGTCTTTATCAATATATATATATATATAACTTTGCTAGAGACCCCCGAGTAAAGTTCCACCCCCATCACCCCACACACACGTGGGGGTTGGTCACTGGCTCAAAGAAAAAAAAAAATTTGCCCATTCAGAGCCCACAGGGGTCACCCCCAGTACGGGTTTGTCTCTTTTTCCATATATATATATATATACACTCAAAACCCTCCATTTTCATACCCTAATAACAATCATCTCTCACCACAGTGAATGGCAAGACCTCCACAATCTCTCAAAACCCACTTCCTCTGTTACCAAAACCATCGCTCCATCCAAAACCCTAACCCCCAAACCCAAAACATCGGCCTCAACAATGGCGGCAAAAAATTTCTTCTGACCCATCAACAGCCGAAGGCCCAGAGCTTAACCCAGATCGCCAAAGAGGTTTCGAGGGTCATTCGGACTCAACCCAGATGGGAACAAACCCTACTCTCAGATTTTCTTTCAATCAATCTCTTCGATCCCAACTTTTTTATTGAGCTTTGGAAGCAACAAAACAATGTGCTTCTTTCCCTCCGTTTCTATCTTTGGCTAAGCTCTCAACGTAGCTTTGTATCGGATAAATTGGCGCGTGATGTGATTTTTGATGGTGTTGTAAAAGCTAAAGCTGCCAATGCTGCGAAATCGTTTTTGACTTTTGTAGATTTTACTCCTCAACCTGGTTCTTTAAAGGCTTATGTTAGACGTCTGTGTGAAAATGGGTCAATTGAGAAAGCACTGAAGGTGTTTGATGAATTGCAAAAGCTAGGTATTTGCCCGTTGTTAGAAACATGGAATTCGGCTTTGTTGGGTTCGGTTAGAGCTAGGCGAACCGATGTTGTTTGGAAGTTGTATGAAGAAATGATGGGTAGTGGTGATGCAGGAAATGTAGATACAGTTGAGTATTTGATTCAAGCTTTTTGTATTGATAACAATGTTTCGAAAGGTTTTGGGCTACTTAGGCAAGTTTTGGAAGATGGGTTTGTTCCTAGTAATGTTGCTTTTAATAAATTGATATCTGGATTTTGCAAGGATAGATACTATTCGAGAGTGTCTGCTCTCTTTCATACTATGATTGCAAAGAATCGACGCCCAGATATCTTTATGTATCAGGAAATTATCAGAGAGCAATGCAAGAGAAGAATGCGGCATGAAGGATTTCGAATTTTCAATGATTTAAAGGATAGAGGGTATGCTCCGGATAGGGTCGTGTACACAACAATGATACATGGTCTTTGCAAGATGAAATGGATTGGGGAGGCTCAAAAGCTTTGGTTTGAGATGGTTCACAAAGGAATAGTTCCAAATGAATACACGTACAATGCATTCATTTATGGGTTATGTAGGATTGGTAATCTCAAAGAGGTGAAGGAGCTATACAATGAAATGTGTTGTAAAGGTTATAAAGAGACCACAGTGAGTTGCAACACTATGATCAGAGGGCTGTGTTTGCATGGAAGAACAGAGGAAGCTCATGTGTTGTTTCAAGAAATGGCTGAGAATAGAATAGCTCGTGATATTATCACGTACAATTCTTTGATTCAGGGTTTCTGCAAGGAAGGAAAAATAGATGAAAGTATAAATCTTTTGGCTGAACTTTTAGAGAAGGGTTTGCAGCCTTCAGCTGCCACGTATACTGCCTCCTTAGAAAAACTTTGTGAGATGGGTGATGTGGATGAAGCAAAAGAGTTGTGGGAGGATATGCAGAAAAGGGGTGTGGAACCAGCAGTATGTACCCGTGATTTCATCATAACTAGATTGAGCAATAAAGGGTATGTAGCCGAGAGGATGGAATGGTTGGCTGCAATGTTGAGACGTAACCTCAAACCGCAAAAGCAAACTTTTGAGAGACTAATTCAATGTCTATCACAATGAGATGAGCTGGATGAGGCTATATTTGTGTTGGATTATATGTTTAGTATAGGTTACACGCTCCGTGAATGTATTTTCCGTTCTCTGGTTGATAAAAATAGATGAAAGTATAAATCTTTTGGCTGAACTTTTAGAGAAGGGTTTGCAGCCTTCTGCTGCCACTTATACTGCCCCCATAGAAAAACTTTGTGAGATGGGTGATGTGGATGAAGCAAAAGAGTTGTGGGAGGATATGCAGAAAAGGGGTGTGGAACCAGCAGTATGTACCCATGATTTCATCATAACTAGATTGAGCAATAAAGGGTATGTAGCCGAGAGGATGGAATGGTTGGCTGCAATGTTGAGACGTAACCTCAAATCGCAAAAACAAACTTTTGAGAGACTAATTCAATGTCTATCACAATGAGATGAGCTGGATGAGGCTATATTTGTGTTGGATTATATGTTTAGTATAGGTTACACACTCCGTGAATGTATTTTCCGTTCTCTGGTTGATAAACTATGTGAACAGAATTCCAACCATGTTGAGACATGTCTAGGTGGTATTCTGCAGAAAGATACTGCAGCATCTGAGGTCTTCTAGGCACATTTTTATTTATTTTCTTTTATTATCATCAATTTACAGGACTATGTTGTGGTTGTTATACATTTTTGTATGAAAAATATCATTCAAAGTTGTGCCAATTCTTTGCATTATTGTTTGTTACATGAGGATGGTCTCGCTGATATAATGAATATTTATAATGCTAACTGTGTGGTCTCTTTTTAGGTCGACCTATCTCATAGTGCACATGTATTCTGTGACCATCTTGCTATATGAACTAGCAATTATTGTATGAATCTATTAAAACAACACGGGCTTTTTGTTTACCAATGACTTGGGGCTTGTTTGGTTTGTATTTGAGAAACATGTTTTGAGATAGAAAGTACGAAAATTTGTTTGGTTTGGTTTTTTTTCAAAAGATGTTTTGAAAAATTATTTTGAGAGAGAGTTTTGGAAAAAGTGATTGATTTGATGTGTATGAGAGAGAGATTTGTTTGGAAACCATGTAAACCAAACAAGTTTTGGAAAAAAAATTTGGGAAAATTTGTTTGGTTTGATTACTTTTAAAAACTTATTTGTAGAGAATTTTTCCCAAAATTTTTTGAGAAACACAAACCCAACAAGGCCTTGGTTTCTGGAAAATTTTTTTGAAACCTACCTGGCCTAAAGTATTGTCATATTCTACATGCACTTTCAGCTTCCTTAACCAGCAACTGTGGTCAATAAGTCCGTATAACATCACTGAGAAAATATGAGAAAATGTGTGTTTGTGTTTATTTATGAAATCGTGCAGATTGTCAACTTCATGTTGAAGATAACAATAACTAAACCTTCATATCTTAAAAAGTAGAGCTTCTAGCAAAGTAAAATTACTATTTTTTTGTTTGATAATAAAGTATTTTAAATATATAAAAAACAGGAAAATGGTTGAGAAATTTATTTTTAGAGGTGTATGAGATTAAGGTAAAGGTTTGTTTAGTTTTGATTGCAAATATATATTTAATAAAATTGTTTGGTGATAAATAATAAATTATTTTTTTGAAAGGTAATATTTTAATTTGTATTTATCATCCACTAAATTGCCTGTTTGATGATTATCTCAAAATTGTTATTACTAAGAAATTCAATTAGATGTGACTAACGGTAACTAGTGATGGTAATAATAATATCTTAATTAAATAAACAAATCGAAAACACGTGAATAAATATTTAAGAATAATATGATATTTTAAATTGTTATTATTTTTGTGGTCCCAAAATATTTTAATTTGTTTGCCTTTACAGTGTTTCTTTTACATATATATATATACAACTTTTACTAGAGACCCCCTAGTAAAGTTCCACCCCCATCACCCCACACACACGTGGGGGTTGGTCATTGGCTCAAAGAAAGAAAGAAAAAAAAAAAAAAAATTTGCCCATTCAGAGCCCACTGGGGTCACCCCCAGTACGAGTCTGCCTCTTTTTACAAATATATATATATATATATACACACTCAAAACCCTCCATTTTCATACCCTAATAACAATCATCTCTCACCACATAGAATGGCAAGACCTCCACTATCTCTCAAAACCCTCTTCCTCTGCCACCAAAACCATCGCTCCATTCAAAACCCTAAACCCCAAAATCCGAAACCTCGGCCTCAGCAATGGCGGCGAAGAATTTCTTCAGACTCATCAAGAGCCGAAGACCCAGAGCTTAACCTAGATCGCCAAAGAGGTTTCGAGGGTCATTCAGACTCAACCTAGATGAGAACAAACTCTACTCTCAGATTTTCCCTCAATCAATCTCTTCGATCTCAACTTTTTTATTAAGCTTTGGAAGCAGCAAAACAATGTGCTTCTTTCTTTCCGTTTCAATCTTTGGCTAAGCTCTCAACGTAGCTTTGTACTGGATAAATTGGCGTGTGATATGATTTTTGATGGTCTTGTAGAAGCTAAAGCTGCCAATGCTGCGAAATCGTTTTTGACTTTTGTAGATTTTACTCCTCAACCTGGTTCTTTAGAGGCTTATGTTAGATGTCTGCGTGAAAATGGGACAATTTAGAAAGCACTGAAGGTGTTTGATGAATTGCAAAAGCTAGGTATTTGCCCGTTGTTAGAAACATGGAATTCGGCTTTGTTGGGTTCGGTTAGAGCTAGGCGAACCGATGTTGTTTGGAAGTTGTATGAAGAAATGATGGGTAGTGGTGTTGCCGGAGATGTAGATACAGTTGTGTATTTGATTCAAGCTTTTTGTATTGATAACAATGTTTCGAAAGGTTTTGGGCTACTTAGGCAAGTTTTGGAAGATGGGTTTGTTCCTAGTAATGTTGCTTTTAATAAATTGATAATTGGATTTTACAAGGATAGATACTATTCGAGAGTGTCTGTTCTCCTTCATACTATGATTGCAAAGAACCGACGCCCTGATATCTTTACGTATCAGGAAATTATCAGAGAGCTATGCAAGAGAAGAATGCGGCATGAAGGATTTCAAATTTTTAATGATTTAAAGGATAGAGGGTATGCTCCGGATAGGGTCATGTACACAACGATGATACATGGTCTTTGCAGTACCTACCAATTACAATAAATCATAGTATTAAAAAAAAAATCACAATATTTAGTTAACAATTGTACCAATAACAATTATCAGATATTCATCGCAACTCCTGCCTTCTCCACCTTATGTCAGCCTCTCTGCCATAATTTCACCCAAAAAAACAACCATCTTGCATTGGCCCCACATTGTCATTAAATTATTATTTATTTTTAAAAAAATTCAAAATCAATTGCTAACCCAGATAATGTTAGAGGTGGAGGGTTCTGATCTGTGTGGTATATGTGTATTTATTTTTTCGATTGGCATAGTAAAATAAAAGTGTTTGGAGAGAGGAGCGAAATCTATTGACAGTGGGGGTGTAATTGTGGGTTATGTGACGTAGGAAGTTGGGGATTTGGGTTGTCAAGTTTGGGATACCAAAACTAAAACTTGGGTTGAAGATTTCTAGTTGTCTGCAAGCTTATGGGTGACTAATAACAACCAATAACAAATTAATGGCAAAATAATCGCATTATTCAGTCTAAAATCACAATGAATCATATTATTCAGTCTAAAAACAGAATAATCACATTGAAGCTGAAGGGATATCAGATAACTTACCAGTGAGAGTCCATGGTTTCACCGTCCACGCCGACCAGCTCTGACGAAGTCCAACAACAAATCTTCTCCGTTTCTTTCCTCATCTCTTTGCTCCTCTCCTCTCTTTCGAATCGCAACAAGTCACTCAGATCAGTT